TAGGCTTTGAACCCTGGTCCTCAGTTCTTTCCATTGTACCACGAGCACATCCTCTTCTCCAGCCAGATGGGTGACCTCGTTGTCCCCTGCCATCATAGTGACCTGTTTTCTAGAAAATGGAATGGAACAGTCTCCATTCAGCTAGTAAGATGATTTTCCTAAAGCACAGGTCTGATCACATCACTTCCAGGAGCAAATACAAAATAGTCTGCTTGGGATTCACAGCCCTTCATAGCCTCGCCCCCTCCTACCTTTCTAGTCTTCTTACACCTTCCTCCCCTGACATGTCCTCTTTGATCCAGTGACCCTGGCCTCTTGGCTGTTCTGCCAACAAGACCCTCCATCTCTCAGCTCTGGGGATTCTCTCTGGCTGCGCCCCATGCCTGGAATGCACTCCCTCCTTCGCTCAGACTACTGACCTCTCTGGCTTCCTTTAAGTCCCAGCTAAAACCCCGCCTTCTACAGGAAGCCTTCCCCAACCCCTCTTAATTCCAGCATCTTCTCTCTATTACTCATTTCCTATTTATCCTGTATGGAGCTTGCTTTGTCTAGATTTGTTTGCATGAGTTTCCTCTGTTAGACTGTAAGCTCCTTGAGGACAGACGCTGTCTTTTGCCTCTTTTTGTATCCCCAGCACTTAACACAGCACCTGGCACTTAACAGGCACTTAACAAATGTTTATTGATTATGTGCCAAGCACTCCTTTTGAGTCTAGGGAAGAGCTAGAGAAAGAGCCCTAACATGTTGTGGTCACCTCTGTGGAAGATTGAGTGAGCATGGCCTCAGATCAATCAACAGACTGAAGAAGTGCCCACTGCATGCCTGCCAGGCACTGTTGTGTTAAACCCTGGGGAGACGAAGATAGAAAGGAAATAGCCCTGCCCTTAAAGGGCTTACAGTCTTTTGTGTCCTGGACCCCTCTGGCAGTCAGTCTAATAAAACCCATGGACCCCTCTTCAGAAGAATGTTTTTCAATGCGTAAGATAAAATAAAATAAAATAAAATACATAGGATTACAAAGGAAACCAATTCTATTGCACTACAATTATAAAACTATTTTTAAAAAATAGTTTATAGATCCCAGGTTAAGAATTCCTGGTCTATTCAAATCCGGTCTCAGAGACTTGCTGGCTGTGTGACCCTGAGTAAGTCACTTAACCCTGATTGGAGGGAGAGAGAGAGAGAGAGAGAGAGAGAGAGAGAGAGAGAGAGAGAGAG